GCAACACTTCGTCACTGACATCGTCGCTGCCGCCGTGCAAAACCGGCAGCGCTTCCGCACCACTGCCGTTAAAACATGTGCAACCGCCGTAAAATTTCGGCAGCGCTACCGCAGCACTGGCAAAATTACACCGCCGTCGCCGTGCAAAACGACCAGAGCCTCCCCTGCACCGCTTGMTGAAGACCTGTCGTCGCCGTGCCAAACGGCCAGAGCCTCCTCTGCACCGTAGCAAAAACCAGCTGCCACAACCGCGCAATGAAGGCAACACCTTCCYTGCACTTCACCAGAAGAAGCGGCGGCTATGGCAGCCTCCCTTCTCCTCCTCCAGCAATCTCCCCCTTCAACCTGCAGACCTCCACTCTCCACCTCAGCACCTCCACCGGCAGTACCGCCCCTCTCCAGCAACATGCARCAGCCAGCCAACATTCACTCAAGTGAATGCCCCAACAGCACTGCCAGAAGTGTGATGCTGCTGGGTGGAGTGCTCACTTTTATARCCAGGAGATGGYTGTGGGTAGCTGCTTTGCTCACAGCCAGGCAAAATTAGTCAGTGCTCCTCGCCCTTGATCGAAATCAATGGCCAGGAGCCATGTGCCTTAGTTCCCCCTAGGGGAACCAGGGCCATCAGTTCCCAAGAGCACCTGGCCGCTTCCTAGGCCAGGTGCCACTCGAAATAGCTCTACGCAGCCATTTCATGACTGCCTGTTCAACTGAACCGGCACTGTCCCATCAGCCCCTAGAACCTTCTAGGGGTTGCACCTAGTCCATGACCGCGGCCACGTACGTGGCCGTTACCCTTTTTTTCTTTTCTTACTTTTCTTTCTTTCCTTTTTTTTTTTTTTTTTTTCCTCCCCCTCGTTTTCTTTGTGAGAGGGCAACTCGCCATTCAAAACGAACGGCGGCCCCCTCAAGTCATTTCACAGAGTCAAACTAGAGTCAAGCTCCACAGGGTCTTCTTTTCCCCTTTTGCCCTGCGCCCGTACCCGGACGCTTTCAACGCCAGGTTCGGGCGCACAGGTAAACGCTGCAGCCCGTTCCAAAATCCAACGGGTGCAGGCAAGTTGTGTCCGTCTCTCTCTTTCTCTCTCTGAACTTACACACAGGGCTGCAAATGCGTTTGCCCATTCGTAGATGGGTTGTCGAGGTTCAACCTCCTGATGAGTCGGTGGAAGTCTTACGAAACAGCCTGTCTCAGTCATGTTTGCCCGTTCGTTCGAGACGAACGGGTACAAAAAAAAAAAAAAAAATCAAAATCTACACCCAATCTTAAAAAAAAAAATCTAAAAAAAAAATCTAAGCAAAATCTAGCAGAGACAAGACAAAAAGAGAACGAAAAAAAAAAAGGGAAACCTACCTAGAATGTGGCTGCCCGGTTTTAACGGGCGTCTGTCACCTTGTTGAGGGCTTTAAGTTTCCAGTTACTTCACGTTGCGGCACATGGCGCTTCGCTTTTGTTCTTTTTTTTTTCTTTGTCTTTCGTTTTTTCTTTCGTTTTTCTTTTTCTTCTTTTGACCCAACAACTGTCTTTCTGACGCGCCGTTTCACCCTAGTGGTAAAACAAAAAAAACACACAAAAAAAAAAGGAAAAAAAACAAGAGACACACTTACCTCGACGATGTGACCTCATTTAGCCCGTACCTGGATGCTTAGGCGTCCAGATTCGGGACAGCTAAGTTTTTCTCCCCCCTCTTTTTTTTTTTTTTTTTTTTTTTTGATGTATGCGTGTCAACCTTGCACAGGGCCATGCTATCTCGGCGCGGCTGTTTTCAGCCGCACAATCTTACTGATCGGACGGCCGAAAACGGTCGTGCCAAAAAGCTGGGATGCTCCAAAAGGAGCTAGCCCGATAATTGCAAACTTGCAGTTTCTTAGATTCGACCCCGGTGTCCACTGGGTAGTAATCGAGCACTATGACCTATTGGGCTAGCTCCTATCACATTAGTGATCGGCGCAACTCTTCTATATGAAGAGCTCAGCCCAGCCCCTATCCCCCATGTCGCGGCTTCGCAGGCCCTGCCTGCCTACCTGTGGCCCTGAAGGCCCAACCTGCCTGTGGCCTTGTAGGCCCTGCCGACATCTTTACCCCGTCGGTTGGCCTCGCTACCCTGGCATTGGCCTAGCAACCCCCTGGCTCGGCGTCAACCCCTGTGGCCCCGATAAATAAATTGTTTTCCTATTCTCTCTATGTCGTGGCCCTATACCGGGCGCATCCATCTTTTTAGCCTACTTAGGCCCTGAATCGCGCGGCTGTTAAACACTATTTTGGGTAGAATAGTTCTAGTCCTACCGTTCCCATGCCCGCACATACCTGCGGCTTCGACAAAATGAAGCACTACCATACACATTCGTCACTCCTAGACGCCACACTCATTCGGACTAACGGCCGAAAAATTTTAGTCTGTCAGTCATAGGTCAGGTCTAAATAAACTTTTGGCAAACATCGTCTCATCAAGTCCTTCAATTCAACGAAAGGGTCACACACCGTGCGACGTTGAAAAACCCCGACAAATACCCTTGTCAGGGTATCTGCCCCGACAACGCGTCCGCGAGTGTTACATAGCAGTCTGCCCTTCAATGGTTCAGTGGTGTCTCCACTGAACTAGGCCGTTGGGCTATATCGCTGGTCCCGGTACCGGTACCGGGCCTTATCAAAAAAATATATATATATATATAGAAGTAGGAAAAATAAAAACTTAAAAAACTCAAAAATAAAAAAATGCTGGCAAAAAGCGGGTGAGGGAGAGTACCGTTGAAACTTGGCCCTTCCTCACTGGCCCGCGGTCAGAACCCCTCGCAAAAACCAAGGGGGATAATTCCACGGGACCCTCAACCCCTCGGCACACTCCGACGCGCTCCTCCGCTGCTCCGCTGCTGGCTGCTGGCCTAGATCCCGGGATCCGCCTGGTATCAGTTCAATGACATAACCTATGGGGCTAAGCCCGAGCCTGGCGCTGCTGCAACCTAAATTCGCTATAAAGAGTAAGGCCCGCTAGGCCGACCTGCAGCACCGTACTACAGGCCATCGGTTTGATTTACTGCCCGCGCCTCAGGCTACGTAATGTCGTACTGGCTGCCTCGGGGCTGGGCTCCGCTTGGCTCACTACGCCCGTCGGCCCTTCATGCCGCGGTCGTGGCCTGAGGCCCTCGTAGCCCGCCGTGACCGGCCCTTTTATCGTCGCTTGCCGTCAACCCCCGACCTCCGCTTCAGACTGCGTCATTCCCGGCGGTGGCTCCTACCGCCTACGATGCGTGGTTAACCTAGTACGTGCGAAATTTCACCCAGTGCGACCTTGAAACCGCAGGTTCTCACTAAGTCGGGCCACATTCTCCCTCAGTCACAGTCCTACCTTATCAACCCTGCGCTGCCCATAGCTTTGCCAATGCGCGCGAGGCTGCGACCGCCTCAGAGATTCTAGTCTGGCCGTCACTTCTCCTACGGGCGTTTCCTGGCCTTCCTCGACCCAGACTCGGTCAGGCTAACGCGTGCCACCAAAGTGCACGCTCACACACTCTCTAATTAATACAAATGGGACACGCCCCTAGCCGTCGCCAGAGGCGTTCTTCCTGTGAGCTGCAAAATTGTGCCCTAATACCCTTGTAAGGGTATTCGGGCCGACAGTTTTTCGGACCTTATTAAGCGACGTCCCCGTCGCGTCGGACAATCAATGGTATAAGCACAAACGCATCTTGTTGACAAGGAAGCGACCAATCCGGTTCACCGACCCGACTCCGTTCGAGGTTGTCTTATCAATCTGCCCCGGTCATGACGTTCCACTGCCAGGGTTTTAACCTGGGTCTCCCACGTCCTGGCCTCGGAGCTAGGGGATACTTTGTTTCGTACTACAGCGTACTACCCGCTCCCAGGTAGTAGATTGATAGTCCTCTCCCTTCGTCGTAGACATCTGCCGGCTCACCGTTGGGTGTCCTGTTTAGTCATCGTCCCTCGAACGGGGTCATAACTTAGGACGCGAACCCTAACCGAGACCTCTCAAAATACACGGCGCCTTTAGCCGCCCTCATGGTAGTGTCTACGATCTCAAATCATAACGAACGTCCAGCCTGGAGTCTAACACAGGTAGCTTCAGGTCTCCATCTTGGCCCACCATGGACCGGTTGATCACGCCGAACCCACGGCCCATCGCGTTGTTATGTAGCGATGGTGCCCTCGTCGGTTACGCAACGATAAGCAACGCTTCCTATCTTGGCACCCCGAAGGGTCCTGACTCTTAACTTAATCGACCCCAATGACCTTCCCTCCAGCTAAACATCTCCGGGTGCCCGACCCTTCAAGACTTAACCTTTGGTAAGACATGGTCCCGCTGCCAGGTTGTGCCGGTCAGCGGCCCTCGCGGGGAGTTAGGTTCTACAATTCCAGTGATGCTAAGAATAGCCCCTTAACTTGGCCTCACAATACGTCCCTTAGACTGACTCCATTGTGGTCTGACACTTTCTTTTAAAAGCCTTCATAATAACCAAAGGATCACCTACCCTGCCTACGGGACTACGTGGAGGGATAGTGCATTTCTCAAACATTCCAACAATTCTCCTCAGTAATCCACAGGGTCGTGCCTCCCTTACTTTGATCAAAAGTAGGTAAGGTCACACATCTTTTTGGGATACTCACAATACTTCCCAAAGTTCCAACATAATTGCCAGAAGTTTTCATCCATGATTCTCACAAAATATTGGTCTTTCCTCGTCAGACTTTTACATAAATGCAAACATTTATCACTACTTATAGCAACTCTTTTAAGTGCTCTCACAAAATTCATCCTTTTAAGAAAGTCCAAGTCGGCCATTGAACTTCCCTCTCTCTTTTCTAAGCCATACACAAAAACACAACTTTAGTTGTGATCCATTCATCATTATTCTATCTGAACAAAATGTATCATGTCATCACTTTCTCAATAATCTGCGAGCACTCCCTTCCCTTATATTTCCGGATCCACTTGTCTTTGGGGCAGGGATGCGCAAGTACAGTAGGAGAAAGTGCAGATCATTTCACTTCACAACATTCATTTCATCTCATCATCCTCCATATGGGCAAGTCCACAACTGAGCACGAGTGTGACACAGCACACACAACACAAAGACAAGGTTTGAGACTCACATATACACTCAGAACACGGGGCCCGACAATGAGCAAAGGCTCCTGTCCCCATTACAAAAATCAAAGTTATTATACAAAACACACGGGTATCCAACGAAAATTATAATATTCAAGTGTCGAAGTGACAGTCGCTCCAAACTCATGAGCGTTATTTTACAAGGGTATTAACACTCTACATCACGTCAGAGGAAAAAAAAAAGGTAGTAAGAATCAGTGCTATCTTATGTACAGAAAAAAGTTCTCAAGTCTATAATGCAATGTAACACCTCAATACTGGCTCAGCTGACTGATGTACACGGGTCTGATCCAATCCTCCATGTATCCCTCTATATACAAGTACTAATCAGTGAGGGAGTCAGAGAAGCCCCGCATATATTAGACTTTAGACATTTTCCGGACCTTAGTGGAAAATCCTACTCCTGGTCACTCATGGCCTCCTGCAGCTGCCTATACAACTGCGCCCTCACCCCATCACAAGTCTTAGGGACTAGGTTTCCATTTCTGTCTCTCCATACCCCAGATGGCTCCCTGGTAACCAGACCATCTGCCTCGTCCTTGAGGCTCTTGGGGCAATCATCAGATCGGTGCTTGCCCTTCTTGCAATAAAAGCACTTGCCAAGCTTCTTCTGGGATATCTTCTCCCTTTCCGATGAGGGTACTGATGACGGGACTGTTGAGATCCTGCTTGTAATCTCCTACCGTGGGACCTCTGAGGAGGTGGGGGGTCATCCGCGCGCACCACCTGCTCGCCGATGCGTCCCTCTGGCCCCGACCCGGTGGCCCAAGATCCCAATGCGTCCCGTAGATCTATAGTAATTGGCACCTCCTGAGGCATAGTTGACTCCTGACAGTCCTTCAAGTCCACTCCTTGCTCAGTCTCAACCATGGTCTGACCCACGCTCTCCTGACCCTCCTGTTGTCCCATAATCTCTCCCCGAGTGGTAGGTGGAACCTCCTCGACTCTCATTGCCTCAGCAGGCGGTCCCTCCCCCAATTGTGTTAGCTCACGTCCAAGTGTCAAACCAGCTGGCATTCTCCACTCAAACTCGTCGACCTCCGCGTCCTTTTCCGTTAGTGCTCCTGGCTGTTCCAACATCTCTTTGTCGATTCGAGGAATCTCCTTGCCCTCCTGCTGGTGTGCCTTCTTTACTTCCTCCTCCCTCTTGAAGACTTCCTCCGCAGGCTGTTCCTTAATTTCAAACTCCTGGACCTCTGTCCAATCCACCACTCTGATGGGAGCCTGTTGTGGGTACTTGGCCTCGAGGTCTTGGATTCTCTTCTCCCATTCAACCCCCTTTGCCTGAAAGGAGATTTGTTGGGCATATAAGTAGGCCCTCAGCGCGTCAGTAATCTTGTTAAGTGTCTGGTTGACTTGCTTGACGGCCTCGTTCTCTGCCCCGACCTTCTCCATATCTGCCTTTACTGCTTCCAGCTCTCTGCCCTGTCTTTCCAACTCCTTCTTCAAACCCTCAGCTTCTCTCTCCCAATCCACTTTCTGGCCATATGTCTTTTGTGCCACCTTCGTCAGCCTGTCCCCAATCTTCTGATTTGACGCTTTGGCTGCCGCGAAGCCTTCCTTCATCACGCCCCTCAGGTTGAGCAGGTCTGTAGAGACCAACTTGACCCTCATCTCTTGGTGATGCTCTCCTGACCTCCCTGCAGCATCCATCAACTTGTCGAAACCGATCCAGACTTCTGAAAACAGCGGAGGGTCCCCTTCCTGAGTGCAAGTACCTTTACCCTGTCGAGCTCCTTCTCCTGGGCAGACTGTTCCTCCTTCAGTTTTGGCACATGTGGCTTGTGAGGAACGTCTGGGTCTGCGTCCGACATAGGACAATCCATCTCCCTCTGAGCAGGCTGTGGAGGTGCATCTGAACCACCGGACCCCCCTGCTCTCTCAGGCCAGTGGGACTTGTGTTCCTTCCTCCTGCCCTCCCTCCGAGTCCCTGACGACCCGCCTTGTCTTTCCCTTGGTCATGATCTACGTACTAATCATGGACTGTTTCCCCCCACCCCCTCGGTTATGTTCATGGGCGTTTTGCTGGATCTGCCCCTGTCTGTTAGTTACTAATCATTTCGGGTGAACCTGGCAAGGTCGAGGACCGGGTACGTTTGTAGTAAGAAAGAAAGAAAATTCACCTGCAGGGGACCTCGTTTCGGTTGCGTTCCTGGCTACTCACTAATTGCTTTGTATGCGCATTTTACAAAGCCTCTTGCTGCAACTTCGCGCACTCCAGCTCCTGTCTCTTATACACATCTAGATGTGTATAAGAGACAGTTGCTGCAACTTCGCGCACTCCAGCTCTCCTTTGCATGAGGCATGAATGCGAAGGTGGGTTGACTGTGATCTCTGCGCCCTGCTGCTGCAAGTGTATGTTTGTCACTGTGTGTCTATTGTCTGCATCCGATGTGCCTCTGCAGGTGGTTATGCACAGTTGGCTTACGACTGCCACTGCCATGCCTTGCCGTATATGCCACGCTTATCATTCAAAGGTCCTCCTTTCCTCTGCCTCTGGTTCCCTTCTCCTCTTTTCCATACCTCTTCTCTCATCTACCTGTCGAGCCGGAGTATAGTAGTTCCACAACAACTTTTTGCAGTGCCCCCAATTCCTGGCAGACTCCATGATAGATCGAACGAAGGGTCTGATATGGTGCCTCACAAACAGAAGAAAGCTCCCCATTCTCTGCTCCCCTGGGATATCGAGCTCATCTGCATATCGATCGTAGGCCCATAGGAACTCCCCCAGGTTAGTGGAGTCGAATCAAATGGGCTGTCCATCTCTCCCCAGTGGCGACGGGTGCAATCCCTCCATTCTCCGCTCAAAGTCCTGCCAGGTCAACGACTCCCTGACAAGGCCGACAATGGGGTCTGCCCACTCGCCTGTGCCTCGCACCTCTCTCAGCATCCTGGTACTGTCCCATCCAAACTCTCGGGCATGCCTTTCGAACTCCATCAGGAACAACTCAATATTCCCTCCCTGGAAGACTGGAGGTCTGTCCTCTTTCCTAGTCCTCATCTGCGTCCTCTGTTTGGTTGCCCCCATAGGGGTTTCCACTGGCTCTGCCCCTCCCCTCCCTCTTGGCATGGCTGTCCCGAGCGGTGTCAAACCTGCACAACAAGGAGGAGACAACAAAAGCCCACAGAGGATAAGCAATGTCAGACAAACACACTAGGAGACAAACATAGCCTTCCCACAACTATCCCAACTACATGCATATCCACACACATGCATACATATCCATACACACGCGAGTCTAATCACTACCTATCACGCTATTCTACTGAGAGTAATATCCGAAACAATCAAGAGATGACTCTAAGCGGTGAGGTCCCTGCTCACCTCGTCCCGAGCAACAAACTTCTTCAGCTTTGAGCCCGACACCCAGTCCTTCCATGCCGCCCCATTTAACTCCTCAATTTGGTACGCTCCGTGCCGATACCTGGTGACCCTGTACGGTCCCAACCACCTCTTGTCTAGCTTCCGCGACCACTGCTTCTCCAGGGACGAGTCATACAACAACACAACGTCTCCCACCTTGAGGGGTTCTTTTCTCACCCTTGCCATCTTATCCCATCGGAACTTGTCCTTGGTACGGCTATCGGCTGTCCTACTTGCCGCTTCCTCAATCCTGTCCTCAATAGCGCCGATCTGACGTGCTCTCAAATCCAGCAGTTCCTCAAAGGTCAGATCAGTCTCGAGGTCCTGTCGCCTCCAGGTTTTCAGGAAGCTCTCGATAGGGAACGTGGCTGCCTGCCATACCATAATGTAGCCGGTGCATAGCCAGTGCTTCTCCTGACAGTAACATTGTCCACGAAGAAAGCGACCCTTAGAAAGTTTGACCACTGGTTAGGTCTTTCATCGGTCCACTTGGCGAGAAGGTTTGTGATGGTGCTATGTCCTATTTCCACAGGTGCATTAGCCTGAGGGTGCGCTGCCGTAGTGTACTATGCGATCACCCCATACTTCTTCAGTAACGTTTTCACTTCTGCACATGTGAATTCGGACCCTCTATCCATCACAAACCTGGATACAAAGGGATAGCGAAGATAGTATTCTTCGATGCATCGAGCCAGCGTCTCGCCAGTCTTCGTGCGAATGGCCCTGCCATCCACAAACCCAGAGAGGTTGTCCCTCGCGTCAAGGATAAAGTTGTAGCTCCCTATTCCCAGCGGCATTGCCAATAGATCTAGATGCACGACCGCTCCAACTTCATGAACATACCTTGGGTGAAGCGGTTCCCTAGGTCTAAGAGCGGACCGCTCTTGGCATGGTACACAAGACTTACAGTAATCGTTTATCATCTGCCCCATGCCATCCCAATAGTGCAGCTCGTGTACCTTGAGGTAAGTCGTATTTGCACCTTTATGGCCACCTGTCGTACCATCGTGCAGGGCCGCCATGATATCAATCTGGCGGGCGACGCCGCAAACTACTCTCCTGGGATCCCTTCCTTTGCTTCTCATGAACAAATGGTCGTCCCTTACCAGGAAACTTGGCCTCATCTTCAGGACTCTCGCACACGCATCTCTTTCCCTTATCTCACATGACAACAACATCCCGAGTTCAAGGTATACTCCCTCGTATTCCTCTGCCCGAAACACTTCCTTAATCTCACCTTCCTCAAAGTCATCGTCTTCTCTCTTGTGGACCACGTTATCACCATCTTCGTCCTGCCGTTGTACCGTATTCCTGACTGTCTCTTCGTGAAGCAGCGCGTTCGCCAATAGGTACATCCCACCTATCACCTTCTCGTGCTTGCCCACTTGTAGCGCCCCACTCTCAATCGTGAGCAGGTCTTCCTGCAGCTCGTACTTGCCCGCTAATGCCAGCTCCATCATCCAATCCACACCTGACATTCCCCAAGAATCTTCTTCGATATAGGGCTTAAGGACTAAGTATGGCCGTCGCGCATGTCCTGGAGGCGCAAGCCACACATGTCGCCTTGGAGTAACATAGTTACCCATGGCCAACGCCCATGAGTTGATGTGAGGTCTCACATCCTCCTCGCTGTCCAAGAACCCGTCGACCGGCGGAGTATCCTCGATCACTCCTTGATTGTTTTTGTCCCAGTCGACTCGACTCAACCTGTTTGCCCTATTTTTGTTCCCTGGGATCTGCTCTAGCTCAAAATTGAACATCCAGATGTACGTCAGCCATCTGGCGATAGTTGGATCCGAGGGAGCGAAGTTCTTAAGAGAACCAGCCAAGGCCGTAGCGTCCACTCTCAATACGAATCTGTTGCCGAAGAGGTAGTTCCTGAAATTCTCAAGCAGTGAAGAACTGCCAAGGTCTCGCTCTTGAACTGAGAGTAGTCCCTCTCCGATGTGTTGAGCGTCCGACTCTCAAATCTCAATGGTCGTTCTCTCCGCTGGGGTCTCACTGGATCAACACTCCTCCTAAAGCAGTCGGCCCTGCATCCGTCTCTATAATGAAAGGTCTGGTCATTACCGCCGCATGATCTGATACTCCCAGTACCAGACCTCCTTCCTCGAACTCTTTCTTCAGACCTTCTATCACCGATTCTTGTTTGTTTCCCCATTCCCAATTTTGTCTCTGACGTACAAGCTTTCGTAACTGCTCCGTCTTTGCCGCAAACCCTTTTATGAAGATCCTCCAGAACCCACACGTTCTCAGAAAGCTCCTCACCTCCGTGATAGTCTGGAACGGTGTTGGCCATTCGAGAATCTTGTTAGTCTTCTTAGTATCTAGCCGACGACCCCTCTCGTCGCACACAAATCCTAAGATAGTGGCCCCACTCATGAAGTGCCTTGACTTCGACCCGCTTGCAGTGAGGTTATGCTCTTTCAAAAGATCCAGGACATTGCACAAGTCTTGCACATGATCCCAGACAAAGTGTCTGACTCCCGGCATTACCTCCTGCTCATCTTTCTCCTTCGGCCCTTTCACGGCCAAGTCATCAATGTATGGCTGCGTGATGTGAGGACTTATGGGCTGCATTGCCCTCACTATGTGCCGCTGGACCATGGCGACCACATTCATCCACCCTTGTGGCGCAACGTTCATGTGGATCAGCCCTCGAGGGGTATGCATGGCCGTCATTGGCCTGTCTGATGGGTATACAGGAAACTGGTCATATCCTGAATACAAGTCAATGAGTGATATAATGACCCTCCTTGCGCATGCCTCTGAAAGAGCATCAGCGTTGGGGAGACCACTTGCGTCTCTCACTGTCACAGCGTTCAGGCGCTGCAGATCCTGTACCCACCTCAAAGTCCCATTGGGTTTGGCAAAGCAAAACCATGGAGATGCATACGGTCCGCTCGAGTAGTCAGCCACATGAGTGCGGATCTTCCCGTCAAGGTAATTGACTACCTTTTCTTCATCGGTTGGATTAGGGTACCGCGCGCCTCGCAAGTTCCACAGTTCGTGAGGTACGGTGTGTATCCTAATCATTGGGATTATATCCACATCCAGACGTCCCCTCTCATCATCACTGAAGGCGTATGCAGCATGCCTT